AAGATAAAAACATATATTAAAATATTAATTAAAATATATAAAATATTAATTAAAAATTAAAAATTAACATATTTAAATAAAGTCACGTGTAAAAAAAGTTTGTAAGAAGCATGATCAAACCAAACGTAAATACAAATACCATTAATTTTTTAATTAAATCAAATTTATAGGCTGTGAAATTATAGATAAATTCCAAAATTTTAAGCCAAACACGGTGCATTCCTTGTCTGTTTGCTCCCCCTTCGCCTCTGTTGAAATAAAAATAAAAAATTAGTTGAACTGACGCTGTGTCACGTTTAACCGCCCCAACGGAGGAAATAATTGCACCCTCTTATTTTTCTTATTCAACTACGTGAACCAGCAGTTTTTGTCTGGAGTGTAGTTATTTTTACCCAAAATAATGTCATGGTTACATAAATCGTAAGTTTTTTTTCTAATAATTAATTATAATATTTAAAAATATTAATTTATAAATTATTTTAGAATTTATTAAGTAATAAATCTTGATTATTTTATTAAATATTAATTATTAATTATACTATTATTAATTATTTTTAATAATAAATTAAATAAAATCATATTTTCGAAGGCGGGGTTAGAAAATTAGTGTCGCTGTAACAGTTTCTCGAGGGGAAATAGCCATGCTCAATTTTTTATCCCCACACGTTTCGGACAATATTCTGCCTCCGTCGTTCTCACCGACTGCGGAGTTTGGCCCACTGGTTTTTTTAAATTGCTGTTATTAAGACATCGCTTTCACTATAACTTAGGAGGAGATTTTTTTTTTTATAGATTCACAGCCAGTGCAGGGGAAGGGGAAGAATAGAAATAAGGGATTTTAAACTTTGATCGATTTAGAGTTCAATTACGTCAAATCTTAATAAAGGAGAAACTGATTTAGTAATTATTTTATTATTTGTAAGGTTTAATTTTGGGCCCACTAATTTGCTAAGTCAATATTCCGTAATGCATCGTGTCACTATAAATTGAGAGGAAAGTTTTTTAGAGCTTCACAGCTGGTGATGAACAGGAATAAAGCATTTTGCCAGTTAATGATGAGCTTCCTTAAACTCCATGGATATGGAGGTTGCAACACCAATGGAAAAAGGAGTTCTCCTTTCCCTTTTACCAAACAGCGCACAAGATTTTTGCAAAGCAAACAACAACGGGTACAAACATTTATTACATTTTTTTTTTTTTGAAACATCTAATTGTACATTGGGTTGAATACAGAGAAATTGTAAATTTTGTAAAGTTTTCAGCTGCAGAAGAAGAGGGCAAAGAAGAAGATAGAAAAGAACATGAAGAGGCTGAAAAAGGAGATGGAAGAAATAAGTGAGGAGCAGAAAAGTATATGGGAAGGGCAGAGACAAGTTAGGCAGAAGTTCGAGGCGATGGAAGAAGAATGCAAGCAGCTTCGGGAGGAGACGAAGCTCATAACGATGCAGAGCAGAAGCACCCAACTCCGCCTCTTTCTCATGTTCCAAATTCTCAAAGACAGGGAGAACAATGATCTTGTCAGAGCCACCGAGTTGACCCGATGTCTCCGGTTGGTCGCTTGTCCTTCCCATTCCAAATGTTTAATTGTTCATGTATCTGAATTACATGAAAAAAAAAAAAGAAGTCAAATCCTTACAAGGAAACAACAGAATTAGTTTAACTTGGCTTTAATTAAAATAGGAAGAAAACTTGTTAATTATATAAAGCAGATCAAGAGAAATATTAGCTCTACTTTTCCAAACATTAGAAACAGGGCAAAGTAGGGACAGGGGTTGCCCTGAATCACTGAGAGAGAATGCAGAGGAAGAAAATATATGGCGTAGCGGCACTAAATAATTGTCCTACATATATCCATGGCCTATACAGGAATAATTTTTCTTCGGAGGAACATTTAAAAAGAAAAGACACAAGAAAAAGCTGTAGAATGCAAAAATAAAAAATATATATTGTATGTGTTTTAAAAATATTTTCATCGCATTACTAAAGTATATTTCTTTCCTTTTATCACAGTGAAATGATTTCCGCCCAGCAGAACAAGCAAATTAGGTCTTAACTAGGTTGTCCTGTCGAAAAGGTTAGTGAAAATGGTATGCGCGCTAAGATGCGTGCATCTGGAACAGGGCAGTGTTATGTATTTCTATGTCGTTGGCTGGAAAAAAAAAAACTTACGGACATCTCGCTTTAAGCTCAAGGTTTTCCATTTTAGGGTCTTCTTGTAGTTTTTTTTTTTTGTGCTCCAAATTTGTGGTTCGAAGCAAGTTTAGTTTGCTAGTTGCTATGGTTTTCGCTGTAAAGCAAATGTGTTTCAAATGTTAGTTTTTGTATTTGCTTCAGTTTTCAGGGAGCACTACGGTAGGATTAGCTTCAGGATGTAACCTCGATGTTAAATTCCATTAGATGAAGAGGACATTGGAGAAGATAGAGCAGAGCATGAAGAGGTTGAAACTGGAGATGCAAGAGATCAGTAAGGAGAAGAAAAGCGCATAAGGGAAGGCCAGAGACAACTTTGGGAAAAATTCGAGGCCATGGAAGAAGAATGCAAGCAGCTCCGGGAGGAGACGAAGTTCATACCCTTGCAGAGTTAAAGCATCCAACTCCGCCTCTTTCTCATGCTCCAAATTCTCAAAGCCAGGGAGAACAACGATCTTGTCAAGAGCTACCGAGTTGACTTAATTTCTCCGGTTAGTCCCATTTCCTCCCATTATTTCCTATTGTTCAATTGTTCTATACTTTTGGTCTATAACTGTTACATGAAAAAGTCAAATCCAAGACTCTGGAGGAAACATGGGACTGTGTATATAATTGGATACACTCATACACAGGTTCTATGATTGGTCTTTGTTGCTTTCCCTGAACTTTGCTCCACGTTTTTTGTGTGTACCAAAAATACGTCTTTTAT